CAAATTACCGATTTCCGATCACTTTATTGGGTGATTTCTTATGCTCAACCGATAAAATAGAAGTAATACTAGCGAAATAGATAAGAATTTGGTTGACTGGATTAATGTAATTGGCTTAAAATGGGAGTCAAAATTGCCAATATCGCTGATGCATAAATATCGCTTACACAGCAAAATTCGCGAGATTAATTTTGTCAATTTTCCATCAAATTTCATACTTTTTGTTTTATTACCTTCAGAAGAAGATTCTCTACCATTTCATAAGAAAAAAAATAAGAAATTTTTGTTTTGAAAATTCTTGGACCCTAGTTGTCACTCTGAGATTTGGCCTTTGAACCCTCAAAGGGTTAATAAACAACAATTTGAAAAAAGATACAGCAGTTTGATGGTTGGACTGTAGAATTTAAGCTAAGTCAAGAACTTGAATTTCATGTTTTTACAGTACAGTATTCATAGTATAGATAATGTGTAACATTAAGATAAGGTTTACCTAGTATTAACAGTAAAAAAACACTTATCATAATAATAATGAATTCCAATAAACATGAAAATGCAACACTATCATTTATATTGGTGAGCTGGCCACAAATTTAATATGTATGTCATAGGATGAAATTTGCAGTGAGGTAACAGTATGTATAAGGATTAATCTGATATGCATTTGATATATACATGTATAGCACTATATTATAATTAACAGTAATGAATTTGGCACTGATTGGATAGATATTTAGTCCATAATATGTTGATGCAGTTGAAATTTATTCATACTATAGCAATGATAATTATACATTAACAAACTATGATTAATATATAGAATAATAATAGTATTATTATTCTATATATTTATTATTCTGTACTATATATATGAACATAATTACATGTTCATACTGTTTTTTTGTGATTTCTTTTAAACTTTTTTAATTTTGTACAGCTTTTGTTTCCTCTAGTATTCTATTGAAAATTTTTGATCCCTTAATTTGCATGGCATTTCTACATAGATTTTGTCATATGCATGGAATATCAAAGAAGTAATATTTTTGTGGTGTTCTTCGTAGGTTCTGCTGGAGTTTTCAAAGGAAATGTTTGCAAGTCTTGATTAGTAAAATTCTGAACTACAGTCGATGGTTCTGAAGTAGAACAAATGAATGATTCGTATGTGTAGCAAGTCTAATTGCCTATAACTAGTTTTTTCTTTTTAGCAAAATTTGATGTATCAGCAGTGTGCTGCTACTCTTCTATTTAATATAGTTTGCTTTCCCTTCAAGGGAAGTGCTTTGATACCTGGTGAAGGGTAACTATCTCCTTCCTAGATCAAACTTTCTTACCTCCCATTTCCCAGGTGCTATATGGCCATATAATATTCATGTGTCTCTGTGAATATAGTACTGTATCATTTGATTCTGTTGATTTGCTGTTTTGGTTTGATGCATTGTAAAACTGTTGATCCCTGTACAGTACACATATACTATTCATTTGATGTGAAAAGATTTGTGTAATATAGTCATTTGTAGGGGTTACCTGTTGGTGCCTTTCACTGGCGTTAAGATTGAATAAAATAGTCCATAATTCATTAATTTTAAGTAGAAGTTGTATTAACCCTTTGACTGTTTTGGTCGTATATATACGTCTTATGAGCCAGTGTTTCGGACGTATATATACTCAATAATTCTAGCGGCTTCAAATCAAGCAGGAGAAAGCTGGTAGGCCCACATGTGAGAGAATGGGTCTGTGTGGTCAGTGTGCACCACATAAAAAAAATCCTGCAGCGCGCACTGCATAATGAGAAAAAAAAACTGACTTTTTTTTTTTATTAAAACTCCGAATTTGAGGTGTATTTTCGTATAGTGTTTATCGTTATATTCTCGTTTTCATGGTCTCGTGTGATAAAATGGAAAACATATTACAGAAATAGAGATGGTTTTGATTAGTTTCACGATGAAAACGACCTTGAAGTTGAGCTCAAAGTAGTGGAAATGTTCGATTTTTACCAATGTTCAGGAGTAAGCAGATCACACCACACGTCCAATACATGTCAACTGGGGAGTCTGATATTCTTTCACTAGTGCACTGATATTATTTATACCATTTTTACAATAATGGAGTAGTCTGCATAACAGTAAATTTTGTATTTTTTGTATGAATAAAAAATCAAAATAGAAAGCAATAGTAATATAAGAGGGGCCTAGAGACGTGACTAATGAATAGAGGATATGTTATTTTAGTGCCAAGAATGTCTACATCATTTATTCTGGACCCTATTTTGAAATTGGCATCTTTTTTAATTTGCGTGAAATTGGCCAAATTGCCAATTTCTGACCACTATTGGGTAGTTCAAATCGGTAAATGGGCGGTTTCTTGTACTCAACTGATAGAAAAAATGGAGTTCTAATGAAATAGCTATGAGTTTGGTAAACTGGAACAAAGGAATTGACCAAAAACAGGGCTCAAAGTTGGCGAAATTGCTGATGCGTATATGTCGCCAAGACCGCTAACTTTGCGGGAGCGTAATTCCATGAGTTTTTGACCTAATTTCGTACTTTTGGTGTCATTACCATCGGAAAAAGATTCTCTATCATTTCATGAGAAAACTTTTTTTTTTTTCCAAAAATTTTGCGACATAAAATGACAGTTTCAGAAAGGGGCTTGCGACAGTCAAAGGGTTAAAGATTTTGAACAGGTTAATAAATAGTTCATCTTTATATTATTCTTGTCACATTTTATGTAGTTTGTTTACATTTTCTTACAATAGGGATAGAACATTTTGTGATTATTTATTAAGTCTTTATTAATCAGGAAAGAATCACCTGTCATTGGTCTTTGTCAAATAAAATGACTTGCTGGAATAATGGCAGGGTGCGGTAAAATGTAAATGCTTTTGTGTGGTGTTGGGGCTGGTGGTATCTTTGGACACAGATTCCAGTAATGTCTATGGCCACAGATGCAATCATAGGATAGTAATTAAGTGTTAATCCAGTTACAGTAGCAGCAATCTCTGGCATGGTGGTGCTCGACTGGGTAGTCTTTCGACTGTGGGGTATATTGGTTAACCTTTTCAGGGTTTCGGCTGTACTAGTACGGCTTACGCCCCAGGTTTTTGACGTACTAGTACGCCTAAATTCTAGTGCCCTCAAATCTAGTGAGAGAAAGCTGGTAGGCCTACATATGAAAGAATGGGTCTATGTGGTCAGTGTGCGCAGTATAAAAAAAATCCTGCAGCACACTGTGCGTAATGGGAAAAAAAACTTTGACCGTGTTTTTGGATTAAAACAGCAACTTTGCACTGCATTTTCGTGTGGAATTTATGGTTGTATTCTAGTTTTCCTGGTCTCATTTTATAGAATGGAAGACATATTACAGAAATTGAGATGATTTTGACTGGTTTTACAATGAAAAGTACCTTGAAATTGAGCTCAAAGTAGCAGAAATGTTCGATTTTTACCAAAGTTCAAAAGTAAACAAATCATGCCAAGCTTCCAATACACGTCAACTGGTGAGTTTAATATTCTTTCACAAGTGCACTGATATTATTTATACCATTTCTACACTAATGCAGTAGTCTGCATAACAGTAAATCTTCTATTTTTTGTAAGAATAAAAATTCAAAGTGGAAAGCCAAAGAAACATAAGAGGGGCCTGGGGATGTAGCTAACAAACAGAGAACTTATTATTTTAGTGCCAGGAATGTCTTTGTTTATTCTGGACCCTATTCGGAAATTGGCATCTTTTGAAATTTGTGTGAAATTGGCAAAATTGCTAAATTCTGACCACCTTATTGGATAGTTGAAATTGGTAAATGGGTGGTTTCTTGCATTCATTCGATAGAAAAAATGGAGTTCTAGCGAAATAGTTATGACTAGTACACTGGAATTGGCCGGAAATAGAGCTCAAAGTGGGCAAAATCGCCAATGCATAAACATCGTCGAGACCGCTAACTTCGCGAGAGCATAATTCCATAAGTTTTCATCAAATTTCATACTTTTGGTGTCATTATGATTGGGAAAAGATTCTCTATCTTTTCATAAGAAAAAATTTTTTTTTTTAAATTTGGGCGACCCTGAGAACAAGTCTCGGAGAGGACCTGGCGACCTTGAAAAGGTTAATCTTGTATTTTTTTGTCCAAGATTTTTAATGTTGGAAGGTTTGCTATTTTGAGGATGTCTAGGAAGGTATGTTAAAAGGGGCTTGTTGTAATAGTATTAAGTAGTTGATGCTTATTCTTGTGCAGCTTTATTGCACATAATGATAATTTCAGCTTGATTATTGTAAATTTTTTATATCATAATTTAATTTCCTCCAGAGATGTGGCTGATGACAAGTATAGACAATTAAGGTTTGGGTCCTTGCTATACCATTACCTTGTTTAGTACAAGTGCAAGGACAAGCAGGTATTGCATGTTTACATTGTTAGTAGCTGAGGCTGAGAGTATATCTTCATTGAAAAGATTTATGTGGCTCTAAAGTCTTTTGTTTAGTTGTAGATTATTAGAAAGTGTTTTCCCAAGTCCTATTTATGTATCCTTTTGTTTCATTGGTTTAAGTACATTAGTAGATTTATTTCATTTTCATGATTAGAATAGCAAGTGTTACAAAATATCTTATTTATTTAGACAGTGACCCTAGCATGTAGTTTCTTCATTCATTTTTTTGTCTGTTGATCTTAATGTATTTGTCACAAAATATAGTACTGTTGGTAACCACAATGACATTGACAAAAGCTGGACTTTAAACGACTTTAATGTAATTTACTGTTACCTCACCTAAGCAGTCCACTGCATTCCTGCAGTACACCTCACCCCAGCAGCCCATTGCACCCCAGCAACCCACTTCACCCCAGCAACTCTGCACCCTAGCATCCCACTTCATACTCTCCTCAGAAAATTTCTCCTTCCCTGCTGGAGTATATAAGCTGATGTTTCTAGTATTTTCCACTAGATTTGTTATTGCCTGTCTAAAGAAGACATCCTTGAACACTATTTTCTCCACGTTCTTGTCAGAAGTTCCCGCTCTTCATCGTGACTCTTCCTGGCGGGACCATGACGCTTCTCTCGCCGGTCAGTTCAAAGATCATCCTGAGATAAGGGTTTAGTGTTCTGGAAGTTCTGTGAACTTTCCAATTATGCAATGATTTTTAAAGAACAAAAATATGCAAGTCATTTATGAAGCCACAAATATTAAGATATACATATATATTTCTGAATGTCTTCAACCTACTGGGTTAGATTTTTTCCTAACTGGATTAGATTACTGCCTCTCTGATGAACCTGAGTAGATTAGGATTTGGCTAATTGGTGTAGATTGCCTGCCTAGCATGGCCATTAGGCTTACTGCAGTGTTCCTCTGTGCTCTGAGTAGATTTTACCTGGGTCATTTTCCTGCCTCATCTACTTATTAGAAGTAGATTTGACATACTCTAATTCTACCTCTCTTATCCTCTCCACCCTTGCTACTCTGCTCCAGCAGCACCCCATGCCCTGCAGTGCTGTATGACACTAGTGGGCTTTAGTGCTTGGTTTTGATTATGATAATAATGAAAAAAGTAGGGAATCAGTTAGGGTGAGCTTAATAAATGAAAAATGTGTAAATTTATAGAATACTTAGGATAGAATTTTATTTCTTTTTAATATGTTGGCCATCTCACACTGATGCAGGGTGACCTGAAATAGGAACACTTTCGCCATTATTCACACTATCACTGTCTTACCAGAGGCATGCAGATACTACACTTTAGATGTCCTTCTAATCAGCAGATATCCCAGACCCCTCCTTCAGAGTGCTGGCACTGTACATATATTGTTCATATGTTTTTATTGCTGAATGAATGATCTACTCCAGAGTAGTACATGGTATTAATCCATAGAGTTGTGGATAAATATTTGGAGTTAGTTATTGGGAAGTCATGCTAACATCTGAGAGGAAGATTAAAGAAACTTCTGTGATAGAAAGGATGATGCTAAAGAAATAAAGGAAGCTCAGGTATATTAACCCTTAAATGGTCCAAACGTATATATACGTTTTTTCAACATCTGAAAGTATGTAAAAAAATGTAGATCTTCTTTTTTGTTTTACATTTGAAAACGTGTAAAAAAAACTTTTATCTACATTTTTTTTGTTATATTTGAAAATATGCAAAAAAAAGTAGATCTACTTTTGTAGCACTACGAATTTGAACGTCGATCTGTTTGGACCGTTTAAGGGTTAAAGTGATTTGAGGTTAGGAGGAGAAGACTGAGAAGGTGAACATATAGGGTGCATGAGCACAAGAATTGACAGCAAACTGGAGTGAATGGCAACAGTTGGTTAAGAATGATTGACATGTTTTTTGTGAACATTTGCACGAGGCACTTTATTCCTTGTACAGGAGGGTCCCATTTGTACAGCTCTTAGGTTCCCAACCCTGTATGGTAAACGAAAATTGCCAGCTTGTGGAAAAAGAGCAGTTTTTTCATTATTGAATGCATCTATAATGCTTGTTAACTTGTTCACATTATAATACATTAAGTTCTCAATATAGCCAGGAGTAAAAAAAACATAAAAACGTAAAATAAATACACAGTACATACAATGCTTACCTTAAAATACATCACTAGTCACCTTCCCTAATGCAACTGTTGTAGGAAAATGGCAGAAAAGCAGTAAAAGCACCGAACATAATAAACAGTGGCTCATTTGAAAGCCAATGAAAACCTGGAACACCAAAAAGAGGGGCTGTATATGCGGGGCTCTCCTGTATATTAAAGTGAACAGATATTGCTTTGAATATTGGGATAGATTGTTGTGATAATAGTTTTCTGAAATGTTACTAGTTGGAAATTATTATGAAAGTATTCTTCTTTGATAACCTTTGTTATTTGCTGAAATGTTTCTAAAATAAATTAAAAGTGCAAAGTGGGGCAATAAAGCATTGTAATTCTACAGAAAATATTAAAGGATATTAAGTACAGGAGGTCCACAAAATGCAAATGAGTTTTATTTCTTGTTTTTGATATAAAATGAGTTAATTATATAGAGAACAGGAGTTCCAAGTATGGTTATGTTTCACACATTAGTAACAGGACTTGGCAGTTGTACAACTTTAAATTGTTTTCTAACTAATAGTGTTTGTAAGTGCTGATGTATGTGTGCATCTTGTGACATTTGTAAATGAGGATATGTACATCTTGTTGCATTTGTAAGTGTAGATGTGTGTATCTTGTGGCATATGCAAGTGCAAATGTGTGTATTTTATGGTGTTTAATTGTGGATGTGTGTATTTTGTAAGTTGGAGACCTGTATTGTTTATTATGATCATCATTGCAGTGAATCACAATTATATTTGTTTTAACAGGAGACAAAAAGAAACTACCCAATATGGTACAGATGGCCTGGACATTTGTCAATGACAGGTATGTTATACTATAGTATTATGAAATTTTTGTCTGTAAGTTTAAAAGTTTTTATATATAATAAGAGTAGATGACTAAGAGGATATAAATTTGGGGTACAATTAAGGAGGGGGCAGAGGTCATCCTGGTAAGGGTTGGAGAGAGGGGTCAACAAGGTCTTGAATATTGTATGAACATATTAAATTGGAGTAAATAGGGACAAGTGGTTTTATGGCTTGCCATGCTGTTGAAGTGTAAGCACACTAACATTTATGAAGGGATTCAGGAAAACTGGGTTGCTGGACTTTAGTCGTGGAGGTGGTAAGTACAATGCCTGCACTCTAAAGGAGGGGTGAGGATGTTGGAGTTTGGCAGGTCCTGCTAATAGTAATGTCATTACACTTCTGGTAAGACAATGATTGAAGGAATTATGGTAAATGTGTTTTTTTTTTTTTTAGGGAGGGGGGGGAGTCACTTCACTTTGGTGGGAGATGATCAGTGTGTTAAAAAAAAAAATCCAAACTCCCATCTTTCAGAGTATAGGCAATGTACTTTCCACCTCCAGACCTTGTAGGCCATCTTTCTGGGTTCCCTGAATTCCTCAAATAGATGTCACCTTGCTCACATTTCAGCAGTATGTCAAATCTCAAAAAATCACTTGTCTCCACTCACTTTGATCTAATATATTCATACATGCATGCTGGATGCACCACCCCTTATACTCAAAACTACATTAAGTACAGTGCCTGCAAAAAGAAATAGTCTGTCCAAAAATGCTAAATAAATTGACATTTTCAAGGTTTCTATATTTTCCCTTACACTAAACAGCCTCACTAGACAGCCTAAGGGCAATTTTACTGAGGTTGATGGTTTGTCAGACAGCTCATACACATGCCAGCAGCAACTTCCATCCATCTTTTGCCTTCAGTTACTTTGGAATTGCTGTAGGAGGCAGCATTTTTGTGTGCCCTTCCCCCCCCCCCCCCTCCCATTCCATTTTGAAATTTCCTGTTGGATTGTTTGACAGCCCTGTAAGCTAAATGTCAAAGAGAAGGCTTTTTTTTTTTCCCTCAAAATGTAGGAAACTTGGATCACAGTGGACTGATTATTTCAAGAATCTCTTAATAGTATGCCTTCAGGAATTAAACCAATAGACGGAATAACCCAGCATTAGATTAACAGATTAAAGTAAGTTAATTTTCAGATTATTTCAATTCTTTTATTGCATTTCATGTATAATAAAATGTTAACTATGTTTTCAATGATTTTGTTTGCAGGCACTGTATCTCCTCATTTTTGTGGTGGAGGACCAGTTGAATGAAGGGTAATTGTGGGGCTTAATTACAGCTTTAACCAAATCATGAATGCACACTTGCTATTATCTTCAATGATCCAACCCATGTTCCATCACCTATAGGTTATTTGTAGTCCAGGAATTTTTAGATTACTACCAGCAGATATAAAAAATATTGTTAGAATAAAGGTTGAAGTTTTCATGAAGAAACTGGAACATTATATGCTCAGAGTGCCTTATTTGCCAGGTTGTGATAGCCCTATAGGTCCTTGGAGCATTGGTATCAACAGCCTGGTTGATCAGGCAGCTAACAGGAAACTCTGGTTTAAGGCTAAGCTGAGAGAGTAAAAAAACCATTGGAACCAGTCATGTGTATAGCTAGGAACATGCAAGAAATCTTTGACTTAATGGACTTCAAAAATACAAGACTAAATCTGCTGGGTCACCCGATTCAGAAGTAATGGGCAGAATCTGTTGATTACACTACATTCTAAAACTAAAGATCATCTGTTAAGTACCAGTAACTTTAAAGTTAGTTAGAGCACAAGATAACTGGATTTGAGAATTTTAAGGAGCTCAAACTTGAGCTCAGTGACTACACTTCAATATTGGGATTGTTTACTTTGATATGGTTGTCCTCCCCCCCCCCCTGTATAAGTTTTCTCTCAGTGTCGACCTCGATCCACCCACTGTATAGTTTAGTCAGTTTTGGCTTGCCCTCATATTCATTTAATACATCTAGTTTTTTAGTCATTCATATTTTAACTTATTTTAGTGTTTGAATTATTCACAGTTTTTTATCTTGCATCATTGTTCAAGAGTTATGATTTTTTCACAGATCTTGATGGCGATTGTTTCACTGAAACATTGATAATGAATATATTTTACAAGAAAAAATGCTTTCACCTTCATGTATTACTATATTTTATGACATTAAAGATGCTATTTTTTCTTCTAAGAGAAGTCAAATACACTTACCCAGCATCTTGGAGCCCAAAGGTTACATAAAAATATGAGAAAGAAGGAGTACTGCAGCAGGCCTACTGGTCCATACTGGCAGGTCCAAGTCACACCTGCTTTGCTCAGAAGTCTCAACCTAAACCTAGAAAAAATTTTTGATACTAAACAGGAAACTAAGCTCCTGTATATGACCCAATAATGAATCGTGTAAACTATGAATAAATAACAAAAATATTCATAAAAAATTTGTTGGTACTTAGCAGCAGTAGGGCGAGGTAAACCAGGTGATGGAGTTGAATGAACTACAGTAGTATTGGTAGGCCAGTTCACTTGTTTACCATCAAATGATAGTAAGATATGGTAAAATATGGCAGTAAGATACATTAAAAAACAGTAGTGAGATACGGCACTAAGTTAAAGTACGATACGGCAGTAATACACAGAAGCTGCCATTTGCACGCCATAGGTTTGTTTTGGTCATGTTGCAGTAAAAATGTAATCTTATTAAACAGTAAAATCAGTAAACTTAAAAACAAAATATTTTTAAAATGCATGAAAACTCCATCACAAATCAATATGCAGTCCTAGCCATAGACACATCCACTTGCATGCATCCAGACAGAGAGTAGAAAGAAAACACGGTCAGTCAGGTGAAGTTTACGTATTGTACGTGACTCAATTGAGTGTGTCCTGCAAATGTTCAGTTGCAGCTAAATTAAGTGACAGTGAAAGACACAAAAATACTGCTAAGCACAAGAAAACTGAAGAATCATTAAGTGAAAATCAAGGAAGGACCCCAATGGAAATAAGTCACTTGTCTGACTCTTTTTTGAGTTATCCTGGGTAATTTATACACATTTTATTATGTATGATAATTTGTTTTAGCTGACTCCCAAACCTGCCAGTCACCTGCGTCAGTGATAAAAAATGCAGAACGCACCATCAGCACGTGTTTTTATACGTTAGACCTCAGACTTAACATAACTTCATTACTGTTATTACCATGGATATTTTTGCCCCTTTTTTTTTTTTTCTCTCCAAAGTTTAGCCTGTCAGACTTGGGGATCAAAACTTTATAATGTACACTACATCTTCATTTTACTTTCCTTCTTAAGCCTCTCTGATTTTTGCCATAATTATCTAATAGTAATTCTTGAACAATGATGCAAGATAAAAATTGTGAATAATTCAAACACTAAGTTAAAATATTAAAGACTAAAAAAGTAGAGATGTATAAAATGAATGAGGGCAAGCCAAAACTGACTAAACTGGACAGTGGGTGGATCAAAGTCAACACAGAGAGAAAACTTCTACAGGTCTCCCTCAACATTCGCGTTTTCAACTTTCGCGGGCTTCACACATTTGCGAATTCCCAACCGCCAAATTCCCAGCTGCCAAATCATATTTAAGGTTACCGCCACGAGTCCTTACTACCCTCCCTCCGACCCCTGCAACTGGCAGCCAGCCCTCCCACCACTGTGTGGTGAGTGTTTTAAGAACATAAGAACATAAGAAAGGAGGAACACTGCAGCAGGCCTGTTGGCCCATACTAGGCAGGTCCTTTACAATTCATCCCACTAACAAACATTTGACCTACCCAATTTTCAATGCTACCCAAGAAATAAGCTCTGATGTGCAAGTCCCACTCAAATCCAACCCATCCCACTCATGTATTTATCCAACCTAAATTTGAAACTACCCAAAGTCCTAGCCTCAATAACCCAACTAGGTAGACTGTTCCACTCATCTACTACCCTATTTCCAAACCAATACTTTCCTATGTCCTTTCTAAATCTAAACTTATCTAATTTAAATCCATTACTGCGGGTTCTCTCTTGGAGAGATATTCTCAGACCTTGTTAATATCCCCTTTATTAATACCTATCTTCCACTTAAACACTTCGATCAGGTCTCCCCTCATTCTTCGTCTAACAAGTGAATGTAACTTAAGAGTCTTCAATCTTTCTTCATAAGGAAGATATCTAATGCTATGTATTAATTTAGTCATCCTACGCTGAATGTTTTCTAACGAATTTATGTCCATTCTGTAATATGGAGACCAGAATTGAACTGCATAATCTAGGTGAGGCCTTACTAATGATGTATAAAGCTGCAGTATGACCTCTGGACTTCTGTTGCTTACACTTCTTGATACAAATCCCAGTAATCTATTTGCCTTATTACGTACGCTTAGGCATTGCTGTCTTGATTTAAGGTTGCTGCTTACCATAACCCCCAAGTCCTTTCGCAATCTGTATGGTTAAGTTCTACATTATTTAACTTATAAGGCGGGGTTATGGACACCCCCCGAGCTTCAAAAACCTTCATTTTCACATTGAACTGAAATCTGCCACTTTTCGACCAAGGTAAGTTTGAAACCCCTGAAGTTCCCTAACATCTACTTTGAATCAATTTCCCTACCTATCTTGGTCACGGCGAAGGGCTCATATCACTAGTAATTCCTTCCAAGTCTTGAATATATTAAAAAACAACAAGGGGCCCAAACGATCCCGGGAACGCCACTTGTTACTGATCCCCACTCGGATTTAAAAACCCCATTTATGGAACTTTTTTGCTTCCGTCTGGAGCCATGATCGATCCACAGAGCACCCTTCCCCCAATGCTGAGCTGCTACTTTGTTCCACCCTTTGGTGGGGAAACTCTATCAAATGCTTACTAAAATCAAAGAAATAATATCAAAATTCTTTATCGTGGCCCACACCTAAAAAGCTTTACTGAAGAAAGTTAATAAATTTTTAACAAACCG